TACATCCTCCTCCTCCTTCTTAAGCCTATCCTCTTTTTTATCATCCTTTTTCAGGTCTGTCGACTTCTCCAGAGGAAGTAAAGAGAGACTCTCTTAGTACTCACCCTTATATATCCTCTCCTTGATATCCGCCTTCAAATAGACTCCCAAGGATTCAGAGAAAGATACATAAGATTTTATTTCCAGTATTTTAATGTACATCTTGTGAGAAGGCTTTTAGTCCCAGAGTGCTTTTGTTTCTAGTATTTTAACGTTGTTATGTAATTTGTAATTTTGACATATTTGCACTTTATTGTGTGTACACATTATGCACAAAATGTGTTTGCGCCAAAGACACATTTTTTCTTTTTATAAAAGATACATAAAAATAGAGGCGAGCCACATATGGCACCCCTTCCAATAGAATCTCTGTTCCCATCTAACTCTGACCCTCCCCCAAAACTACATGTTCTGCCCACAGCATACCCGTGGAATTCGGCCCATTCCAACTTCCTCAGCTCCATGCACCCATGCCTTTGACACAGTCCGCAGGCTCCCTGTCCATGTATACTCCCCAGGATTTTTTAAAAGCCTGTAGCCCTGCAAGTAAACTGGTCACTCCCTAGTGTGCCCCTTTCCCCGTGGGTGTATGAGAAGATTGTGGGAGAGGCGGCAGTATTTCATCCTTTGACCCAAGCAGCACAATGTCCTGTGTACCAGTGTAACCAAGGAACTGTGGATATGTTAAAAAGTTTAATACATTTGAGATCTATAAAAAACTAGAACCCTAGGAAGTTCTATAGCGTGCTTGATAGTAAATCCAAGACTGATTTCAGTGTTTTACATGAGGATGAACCAATACCTTTCTCAGGCGGCCAGGTTACTGTATCGAGTTTTGTCTGTGTGCCCACTGGAAGCAGCATTTTTAGCTACTTGAATTATGGAGCTTGGGATTCAAGTCACAAGTTACTACTTAAAGGGTTACTCCAACTCTTTTAAAAAAAAAAGAAAAAAGTTACTTGCGCACTATCCCAAATCCCTATGCACATTTAAATAACTGAAGGTTTCTTAGTATCACTCCGATGGCCATTCATGGTGAATCCTACACTAACAATTTACCTTGGCCCTTTCAGCTTAAAGGTAAAATCTCTAATGAGACAGAGAGGCAGTGGCGTACTAATGGGGGGAGATGGACCGAGGGGGTGGTCTGCCCCAGGTGATATTTTAGGCGGGTGCCTGTGGTGCAATTTGACAGTGTCGACATTTTGCCACACCTGTGTCTTGTCCCGGGACACTTACAGGAGTCTCCACGTTCGTTCCACCGCCAGCAGCAGCAGGTCCTCTGTTGTTGTGACCCACGAGAGAGTTGCCGCAGGATGCTATTACAATGCTGCGTGCTGCATGCAATGAATGGCAAATCGTTGACATGGCATCCCGCAATAATGCTCTTGTGGATCGCTAGAACAGAGGGCCTGCTCCTGCTGGAGGAGGTGGAACGAACGTGGAGACTCCTGGGCTCGTCTTCATTGGATAACCATGCTGTGCCACCGGACCACCAGTAAATCTAGTGCCCCCCTCCGTGGACAGGTCCGCGATCAGGGGGAGACAACCCCCTCTTCTGCACAAAAAGTTTTTTAGGCCTTTGGCCAGTATTTCTTGGTTAAGTGCAAGCAGTTCAAAAAAGACAGATGAACCAAAACCAAGAAAATCAGAAATAGGTTCATTGAAGATATAGGAAATCGTATTAATTTCCTACATTTACATTTTTGGCAGGTGGTTACATGGTCACTTACAGTGCCTTGCAAAAGTATTCACCCCCTTGGCTTTTTTCGTGTTTTGTTGCCTCACAACCTGGAATTAACATGGATTGATTGAGGATTTGCATCATTTAATTTACAGAACATGCCCACAACTTTGAAGATTTTTTTTTTTTATTGTGAAGCAAACAACAAATAGGACAAAATAACAGAAAAGGTCAATGTGCATAACTATTTACCCCTCTAAAGTCAATACTTTGTAGAGCCACCTTTTGCAGCAATCATAGCTCCAAGTCGCTTTGGATAAGTCTCTATGAGCTTGCCACATCTTACCACTGGGATTTTTGCCCATTCCTCCTTTCAAAACTGCTCCAGCTCCTTCAAGTTGGATGGTTTGCTCTTGTGAACAGCAATCTTTAAGTCTGACCACAGATTTTCTATTGGATTGAGGTCTGGGCTTTGACTAGGCCATTCCAACACATTTACATGTTTCCCCTTAAACCACTCAAGTGTTGCTTTAGCAGTGTGTTTGGGGTCATTGTCCTGCTGGAAGGTGAACCTCCGTCCTAGCCTCAAATCACGCACAGAGCGGTACAGATTTTGCTCAAGAATATCCCTGTATTTAGCACCATCCAGTTTCCCAATCCCAGCTGCTGAAAAACATCCCCACAGCATGATTATGCCACCACGTTTCACTGTGGGGATGGTGTTCTTTGGGTATGTGATGTTTTGGGTTTGCGCCAGACATAGCTTTCTTTGATGGCCGAAAAGTTAAATTTTTGTCTCATCAGACCAGAGCACCTTCCTCCATACATTTTGGGAATCTCCCACATGCCTTTTTGCAAGCTCAAAATGTGCCATTTTGTTTTTTGCTGAAAGTAATTACTTTCTTCTGGCCACTCTGCCATAAAGCCCAACTCTATGGAGCGTACGGCTTATTGTCGTCCTATGTACAGATACTCCAGTCTCTGCTGTGGAACTCTGCAGCTCCTCCAGGGTTACCTTAGGTCTCTGTGCTGCCTCTCTGATTAATGCCCTCCTTGACCGGTCCATGAGTTTTGGTGGGCCGTCTCTTGGCAGGTTTGCTGTTGTGCCATGTTCTGTCCATTTGGTTATCATAGATTTGATGGTGCTCCTGGAGATCATCAAAGATTTGGATATTTTTTTATAACCTAACCCTGACTTGTACTTCTTAACAACATTGTCCCTTACTTGTTTGGAGAGTTCCTTGGTCTTCATGGCAGTGTTTGGTTAGTGTTGCAGCCTCTGCCTTTCAAAAAAGGTGTGTAGATGTAATGACAGATCATGTGACACTTAGATTGCACACAGGTGGACATAATTTCACTAATTGTGTGACTTCTGAAGGTAATTTGTTGCACCAGAGCTTTTTATGGGCTTCATAACAAAGGGGTTGAATACATACGCACATGACAATTTTCTGTTTTCTATTTCTTAAAAATAGTTTTGTGTATATATTTTTCTCATTTCACTTCACCAACTTAGACTATTGTGTTCTGATCCATCACATAAAATTCAGATTAATAAAACATTGAACTTAAGGCTGTAATGTAACAAAATAGGGAAAAAGTCAAGGGGGTGAATACTTTTGCAAGGCACCATAGATAAGGGACTTTAAGTATATTGATAGTTAAGTGTAATAATTAAACAACATTTAGTTATGGGAAGCAGGTGAAGATAATTATGGCATGTATTCCTACTGCTCGTGTCGGCATTTGAAACAAAAGCACTGCCTTAGTAATTTAGAGATAAAGGTACATAAATTCCACTGTGCATTGCAGGTTGCATGATAATGGAGCAAACTTGAAAAATCTATAAAAACAAAGGGAGATTTAGTGTGTCTCTTTCTAAAACACCTGCTATTTTGTAACTACTAATAAATAACAAACATATATATTTTCCCTATCAGCAACTAGCAGTGTTGGCTAACTAACTTGCAGTTCTACAAAATCAATGGAAAAAAAAATATCAGGTGACATATTAAACAGATATAGATAAAAAAAAGATAAAAGATAAATGCAAGACAGCAAATTGTCAACATTGCACCTGCAAACGCTCGACAGAGTATTCTTATTGGAGACACTTACTGTAGGGGTGGAGAATTTGGACATTCTAATGTCATTTACTGACATGTTGTATGGCATATTAATTAAGACATTTGCAGGTGTTTGTGTGTCTTTGTAAATAAATGTTAAAGGGAAACTATAGTGCCAGCAAAACAAAGTTATTTTCCTGGCAATATAGCTCCCTATATTGCCCACCTCCCCTCCTCACGGTGTAGAAGAGGTTAAAAACTAACCTAGGTCCAGCGCTGAAGCCGCTCTGCAATGGTTCGGGTCTGCCACCACTCCTCCCATGTTTGATATCAATATTAGGGGAGACCTAAAGCACAAGCACAGCAATGGCCACACTCGCATTAGGATTTCCCTAAAGGAAAGCATTATACAATGCTTTCCTATTAGAATTCCAGTGATGCTGGATGTCCTCATGCAGGGTGTGAGGACATCCAGTGTCATTTAAGCGACCACAAGTCAGCTAACAGCCCGTAAGTCCCTCTAGTGGTTGTCTAAAATATTAATGCAGTTTATAAAAAAACCTGTAACAATTAGCTTTGCAGGGTTAAGGGTGCTGGGACAGTGCACCCAGACCACTTCAATGAGCTGAAGTGGTCTGGGTGCCTATTGTGTCCCTTTAAATTACTATATACTTTGTTTCTTGCATACAGTTTGTTGTTTGGGAATATGATTAATCCACCTTCTCACCTTGGTGAGATTCTTCAGTTATTCTACAATTACTGCAATTTCTAAGACATTGGTATTTTAAGCTAAAAAAAAACATTCTCCTACGTCAGAAATTTAAAAAGACATAGATGGATTTGACCCACCAGAAGTACTAGTCTTTTGCCAATGGCAGGTAAAAAGGAGTATGGACATTTCAAAGGACTGGGTTATAATTTCTTTTTTTTTAAAGTGTATGATTTATAATTGTCAGCATTGGACCAATAGAAAATCAAATCCTAACACAGGTATTTTCTTTTTCTGCAGATCACTCTACCAAATGATAAATCCTCACAAGCCTTCAACATCATGCTCCATTCCCACTACTTATTCATGTTGTATATTAGTGAATTAGTGTACACACTGATATGGATAAGATACACACTGTTATGGAAGCCATTTTTTTTTCTTTTGAGTATATTTTTCAATATACATTTGTCATTTACTTGTACTGTCTTAATGTTGCCTAAAATTAGCAAAACTGATATACTGAAAAAATACTGTAAGGCTAAAAATGATCAAATCCGAAAACAATTAGGAACTTAGAACAAAAGTGGTTCCTCTAAGGATATTTGCCCAAATCCTGGACATACAGCTAAACAATATGGCAACAAACAAATGGCGATACAGACTACCCATCAAGAGCAGAACAAAAAACACATAGGTTAGCCCAATCATCACTAGAGTTAATATGAAGTATATGCACTCAAAAATGGTATAGATTATTATACCATTCCAGTTTCTATTTTGTTCTAGGTTGAAGTATCAAGAAGAAGCTTATTCCAATGCAATTTGCAAGAACTTTGAACATATAAGAAAGTACATTTATACAGGGACATTGTTTTGATTTAATAAGTTCCAAATATATAATTTTTTTATTCTATTTTATTTTTTTCTTTATTTTATTTTTATTTTCTACATCTGTGTTCTCTCTAATTGGAGAGCTATTATTATGTGCGCTAACTCATTGTTGTAAGATTTGACTTGGAGCTTTGTGTACTTTGGGGGGAAGTGGAGGATAGCAGCACAAGGCATATATTAATTAAAGAGATAGAATCTACCATATTTATTTCTTAAAGGGAAAGCTCCTCAGATTAATACTTTATAGATTTAGAATCATTCAGATAAGCTATGCAAATGACTACTCAGAGATTCCTCAAGCCCATATATCAGCGTTTCCCAATTGGTGTTTACCGGAATCCCAGGGTTCCACGAGAACAAAAATGGGTTTCCGCCGTAATATCACCAACCAAAATGGCTGCCACAATTTTATTGTTTAACAGGAGCATAGTTGCCCTTTAACCCCTTAAGGGCGGCGGGCGTTCTATGCCGTCCTTGGGGACCCGGTCCTAAACGCCGTCGGGCGGCATAGAATGCCCCCACCGTCCTATATACTTACCCGGACGCCGGTGATCCCACGCCGGCGATAGCAGTGGGAGGACTCACCTGGCATCCCAGGGAGTCCCCCTGCTTCCAATCTGGCACTCCTGGGCCATGTGATCGCGAGGTCCTTGCGCGGACCTCACAATCACATAGACGGCATAGCCGTCCACAGCATTGCCAGCAGGGGGACTGCCCGGAATGACAAGCAGTAAAATGTAAAATAAAAGTTAATAACAGTTAAAAATTAAATAAAATATACTTAGATCATATATATGTTTACACATACACAGTCTAAGTGTGTTTTAATATTAATATATATATATATATAATTATATATATATATTAACTTCATAATACACGTAGAATGATATTGATTAAATATATATAATTATAATTATATATAATATAAAAAAATTTAAATATGTTAAAAAATAAAATAAACAATTATAAGAAATAAATAATTAAAAAATATATATGTGTGTAATTTCGTTCTAACTGTATTTTCATATTAATATATATATATTTATATCAAAATACACGTAGAACTAAATAATATACGTATATATCACTATTTATATATATATACCTATATATAAATAAAAATATTTTTTTTCAAATTATATACATACGTATATATATATATATATTTATAAATATATATATATATATATATATATATAGTAATTCTACATATAGATTTATGTCATATTTTTACATAATTAGGTCATTTTATTAATTACAATTTGGGGGACCTGCCTGACAACCAAGGCCGAAAGTATAGGGAATTTAATTTGCTAGCACTATATTTAACCCTGTAACTTTCCAAGACACCATAAAACCTGTACATGGGGGTTACTGTTTTCTCGGGAGACTTCGCTGAACAAATATTAGTGTTTCAAAACAGTAAAATGTATTACAAGGATGATATCGTCAGTGAAAGTGACGTTTTTTGCATTTTTCACACACAAACGGCACTTACACTGACGATATTATTGCTGTAATACTTTTTACTGTTTTGAAACACAAATATTTGTGTTCAGCGAAGTCTCCTGAGTATAACAGTACCCCTCATGTACAGGTTTTAAGGTGTTTTCAAAAGTTACAGAGTCACATTGAAATTCGCCAGATTGGTTATGTTGCCTTTGAGACCGTATGGTAGCCCATTTGCAATAGTAGACAACCAAAGGTATTGCAAATGGGGTATGTCCAGTCTTTTTTAGTAGCCACTTAGTCACAAATACTGGCCAAAATTGTCATTCAAATTAGTTTTTTTGCATTTTTCACACACAAACAAATATTAACGCTAACTTTGGCTAGTGTTTGTGACTAAGTGGCTACTAAAAAAGACTGGACATACCCCATTTGCAATACCTTGGGTTGTCTACTATTGCAAATGGTATGCCATCATGGGGGTAATTCACATTCCTGGGCTATCATATGGTCTCAAAGGCAATGTAACCAATCTGGCGAATTTCAATGTGAAAAAACTGAAAAATTTAACATGCTATATTTGACCTTGTAACTTCCCAAAACACCATAAACCCTGCACATAGGGGATACTGTTTTACACGTGAGGCATTGCTGAATACAAATATGTGTATTTTATTGCAGTAAACGCAAACAGTATTATGACATTCACAGTTAAAATGTCACGTAGAACTAAAAAACTTTTTTTAAATTCTTATTTTCTCCCATTTTTTAAATATTTTATCCATATTAAATTATGTTTCATAGCTAAATATTTGATGTTAAATGAAAGCCCTGTTTCCCTGAATAAAATGATATATAATAAGTGTGGGTACATTTAATATGAACGAGGTGAATTACGGTTGGACACACATATAAATGCCAGGTTTTGTTTACGTTTTGTTTTGATCACAACGTGTACATTTGGCTCAGTCCTTAAGCGGTTAAGAGCACGACTGGGCCCCTGTTGTATTGGCCGTCTGGGAGGAAGTGGCTGAAGGCAGGGAGGAGGATGGAGAGGGCCGCCCAGAAAGGCAACAGCATGAATGGCAGAGGAGAAGCTGGAGTGGGGTGAGCTGCTGCATGCTCATTCCCATCAGCCTCAGCTAACACCATCAGGACCACAAGCAAGCCACCCTCCTGGACACACAAGGTAAGCTAACAGGAGGGTGGCTCTGATGTATGTCCGATTATATGTGTGTATGTGGCAGTGTGTGTGTGTATCTGTATGTCTGTGTCAATGTGTGTTTTTGAAAGTGTGTGTTTGTCAGTGTGTATATCTGAGTGTCAATGTATGTGTCACGGTGTATATCTGAGTGTGTTTGTATGTGCCTGTATGTATCTGTGTGTCAAGGTGTGTGTATCACTGAGTCTGTATATGCCAGTGTATGTCAGTATGTGTGTATCAGTGTGGTTGTATGTGCCAGTGTGTGCATATGAGTGTTTTTATGTGTCAAGGTGTGTATCACTGTGTGTGTATATTCCAGTATGTGTGTATCAGTGTGGTTGTATGTGCCAGTGTGGGTATCTGAGTGTTTGTGTGTATGTGTCAAGGTGTGTGTGTGTGTGTGTATATATATCAGTATGCGTGTATCGGTGTGTTTGTATGTGCCAATGGGTGTATCTGACTGTGTATGTATGTGTCAAGGTTAGTGTATGTGTCACTGTGTGTATCTGAGTGTGTGTGTATGTCAGTATGTGTGGATCAGTGTATCTGTCAAGGTCTGTGCATGTTTACAGGTGTGCATCTTTGTATATTTGTCAGTGTGTGTTTATATGCGTGTCTGTGTATCTGTGCAAGTATGTATGTATTTATGTGGCTGTATATGTGCATACAACCCAAAAATCAAACACCAACACAACATGCAAACACACCCTTGCAAACAAACATTACATACAAAAACACCCCTAAATTCAAATTCAGCGTTTATACGCGAACACTTAAACACACCCTTTACTCAAACACAAACACTACACACAAATGTACATCCACATTTAAAAGCCAACACTACATCCAAACACACCACTGCATGCAAATGCAAACATTACAACACACCCCTGTATCAAAATGCTACAATTATATAAAACACCAACTGTACTCACAAAAGCACACCTACTCCTAAGTACTACTATCTGCGCAACGGCACATTTTTAGGGGGGTTCCACAGTGTTGGTACACTATGTCAGAGGGTTCCATGGGTATAATTAATTGGGAATCCCTGCCATATATCATGTTGGTATGGGCTGCCATAATATTGAACACTATGGGATCGCCAGCTACCACGAATGAATGAGGAGCTGAGCCCGGCTGGGCCGACCAAGAAGAGCCAGTAACCACAAGGTGAGGGTGCTTAGGCCCTGCAGCTGTAAACCACCACTCCTGAGGGAACCACGGCTCTCATAAGAGGGGCTGAAGTGGCCTGGAGGGCGAGCCCACAGCCTGGAAACACCAAACCCGCTGGAAGAGGGATCAGCCAACACGGAAGAAGCCTGCAGATGCACCAGCTGCGCCTCCAGAGCAAACCCCCAGCTTGTAGGGCCTCAGGGACAATCTACATTGATCCAATCCGGAATTTCTGAAGGCAAAAGGGTTAAAGGCCCTATTCTGCATATCAGCGCCACTTTCAAACCCATCAGATGCACAGTGGGCTAGAGATGGGTAGCTGGGCTGGCTTAATAAAAAATGTAATTAAAAATAAAATAAAAATTTTGCACAAAATTAAACATGGGTTCATATGTAGGAAGCCACTTAGTCACTCTACACAGAGGGTCATGTTTAATAGAAAATCTAGAAATGTCTTTTAGAACTAAATATGTATTAATGGAAAACAACAAAAAAATTCTCATAGCACTTTCCGAGATTTTGTCATGAAACTGGTGGTTTGTGTATGTTATGGTCTCATGTAGATTAAGGAGCTGCATCTTAAAAGCATTGCTGTGCAGATTATCATTTTGTTAGTGATGTTGATTAAAGGATGTTTAGTTAAGAGCTCCAGGTGAGGAGGGTTTATTGCCGACCATTTTGTCACTGTGCAAACACTGGCACACAGTCTAGGCTTGCTTATCTTGCAGTAATATGTGTACACAGCAGGCCAAGAAGAAAAAAAGATTAACTTAGCCATAAGATTCCTTCTTTATTGGCAGAATAGTTTAGCGTTAAGACCACACACCTGCTGTGCTTGTAAAATGTTTACTGCTTCTGTGTTATGAAGCACAAGATAAGGTATCATGCATGAAGAAGAAATGCCAGGAGTAGACTGACATTGAGATTTTCATGTATATTGCAGATTTATCAGTAATATCTATATTATTGGTTCTAAAGTGTGTGTATGTATGTTGAAATATGTTATATAA